AGGCAGTGTATCACCCCCATAGTTACCAGGCTGACATAGGAATTTTCCCAGAATCCTTTGGGGGAAAGGCAAGCTAAGTTTATTTCTCGTTCATCCTTGCTCTCGGGATATTTTGCCACGACTCACTTTGCATTTGGGGCCACCCCTTCATACGGAATTTTCTACCAGAATCCTCACTTAGTGGTCATGGGCTTCATTTCCTATTCCCTAGGCTTCATGGTCCAGGAAAAGCAGTGCTTCACATCCCTGCTTTAGTGAAGCTCCCTCATGGAAAACCAGCTTCCGCGTCCACGTACGCTGCTCGCCTCCCGCCCTCTCTCGCTCACCGACCTTCAGGAGTTCCTCACGAGGCTGCCAGCCACTAACACATTTTTAAAAGTTTTTTTTTTTTTTTAATTCTTAGAAAAAAACAGAGGAAAAGCTTCGTGACGTAAGACTTGGTAATGAATTTTTGGATATGATACCAAAGCACAGGCAACAAAAGAAAAATAAATTAATCAGGGTACATCCAAATGTAAAACTTCCGTGCATCGAGGACACAGCTAGCAGAGTGAAAAGGCAACCTACGGGACGGTAAAAACAACTGAAAATCTTATATCTTATAAGGGGTCAACGTTCAGAATTACAAAGAATTGCAGCATCTCAGCACCAATGGAAACAACACTGGAATCACAGCCCTTGGGGCTTCATTATAAACAAATTCTCCCTTCAAAAAAGGGAAATGCTAAAAAACTCAATACTACTTAGCCTCTGATGTACCTGTGTGTCAGTCCTATACTCTGTTTTGATATTTTTCAAATTGTGAATTGTACTTGAATCTCCACCTGGGAGCACTGTGTAGGCTTTGCGTGAACCATAAAATGAGAATTCTGTGGAAGCACTGCCTTGTGAATTTGCTGCTATTTTAGCTTTGTCTTTGCTCTAAAATTGTAGCATTAAACAAGCATCATTGTTAATAGGCTATCTTTTGAAGCAATTATGTGAAATACATAGCTGCTCTTGATGAAAAGCAGCTATTTGCCTTTTTTCCTCTTTGAACTCTTTGAAGCTAGTGCATTGAAAAAATGCACCTCTTTCCCCCTTGGGAATACTCTATTAATGTAGTTTAATTAGTACTGGTTTTGTAACTTTTTGATAATGTCCTTCCTTGACTCTTTTTTTTGGGGGGGTTCCAGGGATTGAACTCGGGTCCTTGCACTTCTGAGGCAGGCAGCAGAACCACTGAGCTAAATCCCCAGCACCCTTGACTCTTTTTTTTTAAAATGTCTCCTCCTTCCTCCCAAGTTTTGTACTTGATTGTATGGTTAGTCTGTTTTTAAATGTTTTGCCTGATTTCTCTTCCTTTTTGTATGTAAACTGATCTTGGTAAACACTGTACATAGCTCTTTGAAATGCCAGAATGACTTCTGACTTTTCCAGGTTTTTCAGAATATATTTTACCTGTTATTAGCCATTTGGCTGGTAATGCTGGATAATATACTTTGCAAAAATCAATTGTGTCTTTTTTGTTTTCTCAGTTTTGGCCTAAAACATGTTTGCACTTGTCTGTTTGACTATCTCTTATTAACATTGATTGGCATAGTAGAAGTCACTCTGAGCTTACCTTAAAAAAAAAAAATCATAGCCCTTGGGAGGCTGAGTCAGGAGGATTGCTGTGGGTCCAAGGCCAGCCTAGTTCATGAGTTCAAGACAATCCTGAACTACATAGTGTCTCAAAAGACAAACAAACAACAACAAAAACTAGAGCAGTCATTCTTCAAAGAAGAAATCCATGGTTAATAGAACATGAAAAGATGTTCAGCATTACTAATCACTAAGGAAATGCAAAGAGAAACTATAATGAAGCCAAGTGCAGTGGTGCATTTGCAAGTTCAAGGCTGCTCTGGGCAACTTAGCAAAAGCTTGTCTCAAAATAAAAAATAAAAAGGGCTGGGTATGCAACTCAGTGATAGGGCATCACTAGGTTTGAACTTCAAAACTGCAAAAACAAACCAAAAGCTCACAGTGGCATTCCACCCCACACCCACTAGGAGGACAAGTAACAAGAAAGCAGAAAATAACAAGTGTTGGTGAGGATGTGGGAAAATTGGAGGTCTTGTATACTGTTGGTGGCAATATAAAATAATTCAGCTGCTATGGAAAACAGCATAGAGATTGCTCAAAAAATTAAAAATACACCTGCCAGGCTGGGGATTTAGCTCAGTGGTACCACACCTGCCTTGTAAGCACAGGGTCCTTAGTCCGATCCCTGTTACACCAAAAACATAAAAATAAAAAAATAGGCCTACCATGTAACCCAGCAATTCCACCTCTGAGTATATACCCAAAAGAACTGAAAACAGAGTTAGCCTCAGAATATTGTTACACCCATGTTCACAGCACATAATTCACAATAGCCAGAAGGTAGAAGCCCTCAGTGCTCATCGACAGGCGAATGCATGAATGAAACATAGAAGGGAAGACATTCTGGTGAGTGCTGCAGGGTGACATGATCCTGAGTGCTGGGTGCTGGGTGTAATGAGGCAGTCACAAAAGGCCAGTACGACTGGGTGATTCCATTTCTGGGAGGCACCTAGGTGATCAACTGCATAGAAAGTAGAAGGGTGGTCACTGAGGGCTAGGGAGTGGTATAAAGGGGAAGGGGAAGTTATTGTTTAATCTGTGCAGAGTTTCAGTTTTGCCGGAGGAGAAGAGTTCTAGAGGTGGGTGGTGGTGATGGTTGCACAACAGTGTGAATGTACTTAACACCACCAAACTGTCCCCTTAAACATGGCTGCAGCGGTCAGTGTTACCTAGGTATATTTTGCCACAGTAAAAAAATAAAAATATTTTTTTAAATCTTTAAATATGCAACCAGCATCTTTAGTTGCTTTTATTCAGAGAGTCAGTCAAGGTGCCCAGTCCCCAAAAGTCGGAAATAGAATGATACCTGTGCGTGTTTAAAGTGGTTTTTCCCAGGTTCCTAACACATAGCCCTCCTGAGAATCAGGGCTGCTGAGCGATGTCTTGAGGACTGTTGTCCCTGCGCCGTGGTGGTGGGGACGACTTCACAAACCTCTGCTTGGGGCTCTGGGCCTGCTCCCGGGCTGCTCACCACGGGCACTCATTCAGCCTCGGCTCCTTCAGCAGACACAGTTGGGGAAGTCCAGTCGAGCGGCAAACTGGGCATCTCTCCTCACCCGGGCCTCGGCGCCAGCCCAGTTGTTACAGTTGGTGGCAAGTGCCTGTTTATTCTCAGTCAACATTATTTAGAATCCTACATCTGACCGACATGCCATTACCCAGAAAACCCCTCCATTTTCTGAATCCCACCATATCCTCCTCTAGGCTTCACTACTGAGCTAACGGAGCCTTCAGGTGAAGGTGGTTCTTACAGCTAAAAGGTGGCCTTCTTACAGGCTCGTGATTTGCAGTTTTAAATCCCCTCTTTCAGTTAGGGAGCAGTTTAACTCTCGGATGTCCCTAGTTACAGCAGAAATGACCTCTCCATAGAGACCCGGGCTCTGGAGACCCAGGACATGCGAAGGCTCCAGTGCTCACAAACTGTTCCCAGTGCAGCTGCTTACATAGCAGACACAGCAGATGTTGAAACAGCACAGCCCCGTTCTGCACAGACCTCCCAGCCTGGATGATATTTATGGCTCGAGGTGACAAATAGCTGTTCATCATTTTTATTGTAAGAGTAGCCTTAGCCATTCCTCTGTTTAAGAGGAACACACCAGGGGAGGATACATCTATCTTAGTCTGCCAGGGTTTGTCACAACATGGTATTACAGGCTGGATGGCATGAACAGTAGAGTTATTTTCTCACACTGTGAAGGCTAAGCTGGAATCAAGGAGCAGCGGGGCTGGCTTCTTTGGCGGCCTCTCTTTCTGGCTTGCTGTTAGCTAGTTTTTCTCCTGAGTTTTCACATACTCTTTGCTTATTTCTTCCTCTTATAAGAATGCCAGTCATACTGGGTTAGGACTTCCATCCCCTCCTACCCCTATGATCTCTTGTTTTTTGTACCGGAAATCAAACTCAGGACCTTGTGCTTGCGAGGCAGGCATGGTGTCACTGCTAAATCCCTCCAGGGTTTGTCACAACATGGTATTACAGGCTGGATGGCATGAACAGTAGAGTTATTTTCTCACACTGTGAAGGCTAAGCTGGAATCAAGGAGCAGCGGGGCTGGCTTCTTTGGCGGCCTCTCTTTCTGGCTTGCTGTTAGCTAGTTTTTCTCCTGAGTTTTCACATACTCTTTGCTTATTTCTTCCTCTTATAAAAATGCCAGTCATACTGGGTTAGGACTTCCATCCCCTCCTACCCCTATGATCTCTTGTTTTTTGTACCGGAAATCAAACTCAGGACCTTGTGCTTGCGAGGCAGGCATGGTGTCACTGTGCTAAATCCCTGGACCCACATGATCTTATTGTAATTTAATTGTCTCTTTAAATCCCCCATCTCTGAATATAGTCACATATGGATGGGGGGATTCAGCTCATAACAGCATCTAAAATGATATCCTGAAATATATCCTATCTCATCATAAAGATCGATGTTGTGCATATCATTCTTCAAAGAATCTGTGGTCTGTTTTTTTGTTTTTTTAAGTTTGCTTATTGTTGCAGTGCTGGCAATTGAACCCAGGACCTTGCACATCCTAGGCAAGTGCTCCACCACTCAAGTGTTAACCTTAACACTTGCAAAAAGAGCCACCCAGCCCTTTTCTAATTTTATTTTGAAACAGGGTCCCCCCAAATCGACTAGCCTGTCCTTGAGCTTACAATCCACCTGCTTCAGACTCCCTGTGAGCTGGGATTAGAGGCCTATACCACCACACCCAGCAAATTTCTGTTTTTAAGGCATTTTATTTTCACCTCTTCCTTGGGTAATTAGAAAACTATCTTGGAGACAAAAATGTTGATGTAATTAACATGAGTGACTTTGTGAGCAAGACATGAAATCCCAGAGTACGTTTGTCAGCACGAGTAAGTGTTTTTTAACTTTGTCCTCGTAGTCTTGCCTTCTGGAATTGACAGGGCGCACTGCCTGCCCATTTACTACGCTGGAAATCATTGCTTGCAAGATGGACCCATGGTCTCTAGGGCGACTTGGGAAGGCTTTGCAGTTCAGCAGTTTGCTTTCTCTTGTCCTCGATTATTGCAGGTAAGGCTGGAATGCAGAGTTCCGACAGGCAGAGCTCTTACTTCGTCAGCTGGGGGACGCCACGATGGGGAAGGCCCATATCCAGGTTCTTTGTGCCTATCAGGGCTGGACGAGGACCCTCTAAGCCCTCTTTAGAGTTGGCATCCCTCAGTTAATGTTAGGATTTTCAGAAAGACTCATCGGTTATTTCCATATGTATTTGGTGAAAGCCTATTTAAACAAGACACTGTTCATTGCTAATGGCAATATGGCTGTCCAAGGGAGTCTTTAGTGCAGTGCAGGAAAAGAGACGAGCTCTTGATTAGGCATAATGCAAAGTAGGCATCTGAATATCACAAAAGATGTCCATGTACATGTTCTGTGGTGCTTCAGGTGAAACCACAGCTCCATAGGCGGTGGGCTGGTCTTCAAGAGAGGAGCAGGGAGAAGGGGGGGAACTAGGGAGGAGCAGAGTCCTTCAGGGAGCTGGGGTACTGCGCATGTCAGAGGAGGAACTGGGGGTGAGAATAATAATAATAATCAATAATACCAGTAAATGGCTAAGTAAGTTTGTTGTGTATCAAGCATTCTTCTTGGATGAGCTCATTTATTCTCCTGACAACCTCGTGAAATATATCTGCCATTTCTATCCCTAGACTCCTGATGAGGGAAGATTTGTTCAAGGCCACTCAGATCCTAGGGATGGAGCTTTGATGTGAATCCAGGTTGCCCAAGTCACAGCTCAACTCTGATCCTTGACACCAGATTTCCTGGGAGCTCTAATTTGCCACCCACAAATAATTTCAGACTGGTTGTAAGAACTTAAGTCAATCGTAAACCTTTCTGATTTCCAATTCAGAAGTCCATACTGTCAGATGGGACCTTGCACCAAAAAGGCTGTGAGGTGAAAGAGATTATTTGTGCTTGAGAAGTAGCACTGCAGACACACAAGGCCCCTTAAGAAACTAGGGTCTGTGGTGGTAACTGATGAGTGAGTCCCTTAGCAGAAACTAGGGGCAGGGAGTTAGTTCTCTGGGGAGCTCTCCTGGATTCTGTACTGCTGGCAGGATCATTAGGTAGGGTCTCCTGACTGAAAGTGGCAGAAGGCCAGTGTCCCCAGGCTACTCTACAGTATCTGCTTGGGATCCCCCTACCCCACCACTCTACTGAGCAGAACCAGACCCACTGCTAAGAGATCCCTTTCAACCCCATGTCCTGGGAGGGACACCCAGAAACCTGTGCTGGTGGGAAGGGAGAAGGAAGAAAAAAGAAATTCCTGTCTTCAGGAATCAGCTTGCTTTGTCACTTGAAATGATGGTGCCATTGCTTAGAAAGCTGGAGTTGTCAGGGATGGGTGGCTGAGGGTCCGTGAACATCCTCCCATCACCCTCCTCAACTGACCTCAGGCAAGGCACTCTTCTTTCTACACCGCAGCTGCATCCCCACGCTGCCTAGGGAGCTGGCCTTGCAGCCCTCGATGATTACTTTTAATGAGCTAATACATTTTTAAAGTTATTTAACATGACTCATCTTAAAGTTCAAGCTTCGTCATTCCCGATTCCCTGAAGATGTCACCTTACTTCCCCCAGTCTCAGTTTCCCGGCCCATAAAATTGATAATAACCGATCCTACTCCCTGCAAATTAAGCCTGTGCCTAATGGGCAGGAAGCACAGAACCAGGAGATGAGGGATAAAAAGTGAAACTTTCCTGAACCTGCTCTGGAAACACTTTAAACCCTCCCTCTCCCAGAGTCCCGGTGCTGCTGGGGCCTCCGAGGCTCCTCCTGCCCCTGCCAGCTGGGCCATCTCACTCCCCTGTGGTGCTACCCCAGGTTTTAGAGCTCTTTCTACAGCTTCTCCCTGGAACAGGTCCTTCAAATTGTCCTCTGCTCCCTTTACCCAGGAGGCAGACTCTGGGCTCCTTTCCTCTGTACCCAGGCTCCCCACAGCCACCTGGGCCCTGGAAACCCATTCTGGGAGTCAGCAGCCTCTAAGTGCTTTTTTTTTTTTTTTTCTTAATTAATTTTACTGAGTTTATTGGTACATTTTAGGGATACAGTACAGTTACACTCATTGTTGGGATCTTGTACCTCTACATGACAAGTCTTGATTCTCATTTTTTCCCCTTACCTCTGCCCTCCCTTCACCCCCTCCTCCCCTCCCCATCTACAAACACTTTATTTTCATCTTTTCATTCTCTCACATTTTTTTCTTTTCCCTTTTTGTTCTTCCCCTACGCATCACACCTTCCCTACACCTTTAGCTCCTTTCTTCAAATTTCTAAATGTCAGTAATCTTATTAGAATCTTATGCATTGTTGCAGATTATTCACACCAGGGTCTAAGTGCTTTTTAAGGAGGCCTTTAAAATTAGTAATGCTCTCAGTGACATAAATTTTACATGTCTCTAATTTGTTCTTGTCATTTCTTTGTAGATTTGGAAATGAAGAAATGGAGTGTATCTTCTCAGGCCTGGAAAACAATAAGAGGCTTCAAGGTCTCAGTCTGCGTTACTGTGGGCTGGGGCCGTGGAGTGGGCCACGGTTGGGATCCATCATCAGCCGGAGTGCCGTCTGGTGAGATGTCCCCACTGTTGTCTTAAGTTGCACAATCCAGTTGATTGTTATCTTTGTTTGCTTTTTCTTACCTATAAGAGAAAGATCCGTTAAAGTTTGAGAATCAAGGGTGTCACACTGAATTCATGTGTTCAACCAACTAATGAAGTCATTAGGTCTGTTTTTTATGATGTGACCTTTTCTTTTGAGTTTTAAAAATAATTTTTATTTTTTAAAGTTAATATAGGCATTACAGGGAACAAAAACACAAGAAGCAAAGAACAAAGTCATTCGCAATCATAAGCAGCTTAGCCGGATGTGTTTTTCTGGGTCCTGCATGTACATATACAACATGCCATTTTATGTGATTGAGTTTGTACAGTGTATGTCATGCTTTTCTACACATCATGAATACTCATCAATTCAAAATCCCAAAACTACAAGAATTTCTTGATAACTAGGAACACAGTACACCAACTCAATCTGTTCGGCAAGAATTGTAATCCTGCCTTTCTTGGCAACAAAAATTTCACTGAAGATGAAAATGGCAACAGGCCTCTAGATAGAAGTATTGGCAAAGTTACAATTACAATACTGCATTTCCTTAATGTTCAATTTAAAATGAGACATAAAGCAACAGAGTACACCAATGATGTGGTCTATTTTTACTTATTATGAGTATTGATTGATTAATTTCATGGGTGAGTATTTTATTTTATCAGATGAAAACCTCAAATCCAAGTTTGAAGACGTGAAACTAATATCCCATAAATAACGTATCTTACCATCTTCTCCAGCAAGCTGCACCTTGATGGCAACTCTTTGCAGTGCTCTGGAGCTCTGGCTCTGCTCAGGCCCCTAGTGGAGTATGCAGAGATGCAGGGGAAAGACCCACCAGGCACAGCCTCTCCTGACACTGGAAATTCACCTCAGCTGCTCCACAGTAGGTGCAGGGCAACTTGGCCCTTGATTCCTTTTGGAACCACCAGGAAGAGGAGACTGTTTTGTGATTGAAAGTGACTCTCTAGCCAGTGCAGTGGTGCATCCTGTAATCCCAACAGAATGTGAGTTCAAGTCTCACCTGGGCAATTTAGTGAGACCGTCTCAGAATAAAAAAAACAGAAAGGAATTGAATGTAGTTCTGTGGTAGAGTGGCCCTTGATTCCATCCCCAGGAACCCCTCCCCACCAAAGTGAGCTTCTCAGTGGTCAATGGAGATTCTTCTTCCTGAGTATGTGTGGAAGACAGAATAACGGCCTCCAAAGATGTCTTTGTTCTAATCTTGAGAACCTGTGAATATGTGATATGGCAAAAGGGATTTTGCAAATGTGATGACATTCAGCATTTTAAAATGGAGAGATGATCTTGGATTAGTGAATGTAATCACAAGAATATCTATCTATCTATCTATCTATCTATCTATCTATCTATCTATGGTAATGGGGATTGAACATAGGGCCTTTCCCCTGAGTTGCATCCCATCCCTTTTTCTTCTTTCTTTGTTTTTATTTTTTGGGGGTTTTTGGTGGGGAGGTTGTTTTGTTTTTAAATTTTGATATAAGGTCTTGCTCAGTTGCCCAGGCTGGGCTTGAATTTGGAATCCTCCTGCCTCATCCTTCCAGAGTATTGGGAATACAGGTATGTGCCACCATCCCTGGCCCAAGAATCTCTGTAAGAGGTGGAAGGTCAGAGTCAGAGAAGACATGTGACTATGGGAGCAGAGGTTTGGAGTGGTGTGAGGAGAGAGCCAAGGAAAGTAGGTGGGCTTTAGAAGACAAAAGGCAACGAAACTAGGAAGTAGTTCTGCTGAAACCTTGACTTTTGCCTGTAAGACCCACCTCAGACTTCCAACCCGCAGAACTGTGCAATAATAAGTCTGAATTAGTGTAAGCCACTCAGTTTGTGCTTGTTTGTTATAGCAGCAACAGGGGCTAAGTCAAGGTGCTGGCCCTTACCTGGCTGTGGATAAGTAGGGGACCCAACGCGGATTTTTGCCACCTTAAATGTGGCATCTGGAGCTCTCCTGGGCTCTGTCCTTGCCTAACCCTACTCTTGGAGTGAGGGTATGTGAACATTCTCCTGGAAGTGTGTTGGAGGGATGTGGATGGCTTTAAAGAAATCTCCACTTTCATGAGGACAATGTTCCTGGGATTAAGATACTCTCGGTCATAATCATTTCATTCTGTTTCTCCAAAAAAGGCCCATCTCTTTCCCAGTCAGCATTTTAGCAGGGTATCTGGCCGCGGGGTACAAAGGCAATGAAACAATTCAAAATATTACCTCAGATGTTTCAAAGGTGAATGACTGTATTACTCAGAGACAGACCATTATTACGCATCAGTTGGTTTCCAATTTTTGCTTTCAACACAATTGAAGGAAGAGGGCTGGGGATTTAGCTCAGTGACACTTCACTCACCTGGCAAGTGCAAGATCCTGAGTTCCATCCCCAATGCCCCCTCCACAGAAAAAGGGAAAAAAAATGAAGGAGGACCTAGTCAAATTATCAGCTGATGGGTTATTAAAAATCCTTTTTTATGTGTGTGATAGACTACTGTGTGATTTTTAGTATATAACTCAAAAACCCAAAGAATTGAATAATACTGCTAGGATAGAACTCCTTCTAGGATTACTCAGTTGGAAAAAAAAGTTATTTAAGTATGTTGCATGCAATGTTTAGGCTATCCACATGCTGAAATAAGTATGCTTTGCTTATCTGACATTTAGGTTGAACTGGGTGTCCTGCTGAGGTGGAGTAGGGTGAGGGATGGAGGAGAGGCTAAATCTGCAGTCCTATTCCATTTCCAACCTGTGTGCATAAGATTTCTGAGTGCTTATCACAGTGACCACCAGAAATAGAGACTAGTGCTCAATTCTGTGTCATTCCGACAGTACTATTCCACAGTGAATATGTGAAGTCACTGTAAAAACAGACAAAAGACCATCATCCATTTTGTTGAGAGATGCAGCCAATAAAATTTTATTTTTGTGAGTCAGGGATTTAGCTCAGTGGTACCACGCCTGCCTCACAAGCACAAGGTTCTGAGTTCAATCCCCCACCCCACACCTTACCAAAAAATTTATTTTTGTATTTAATTAGAATCATCAAATTATGTAAACGCATATGTTTTGATCAATATTATATGAAGATCCTCCTGTCTTAAAATTTAAAAAGGCTGGGAATGTAGCTCAGTCCAAGGCCTGGGTTCAGTCCCCAGTACCACAAAGAGTAAAATAAAATAAACCTGAAAGTTTATCAGACAACAACTGAACAACAGATTTTCAAAATTCCTTGAGGATATTATAAGAGCAAATAATTTTTTTTTCTTTTCAGTGCTGAGCATGGAACCCAGGGCAAGCACTCTACCACTGAGCTACATTTCCAACCTACAGAAATGTTTTGGGACCACTGCTTTGTAAAGCCCAAATGTTTGGATCTCCCTCCTTTCCTGTGAGCTACTCTCAGGCCTCTCAGTAACTTTGTCTTCAGGCCAGAGTCAAGCTTTGTACTGCTGACAACCTAGGGCACCCAAATGACTTACTACCCAAATACAAAGCTTTTGTTGGTGTTTTGTTGTTTTGTGATACTGGAGATCAAACCTCCGATCTCTTGGGTAAGCACTGTACCACTGAGCTACATCCTCAGCCCTTTTAAATTATGTTTTGTTTCTGGTACCGGGGATCGAACTCTGGTCCTTGCACTTGGGAGGCAGGCAGCAGCACCACTGAGCTAAATCCCCGGCCCTTTACATTGTGTTTTATTTGAGACAGGTTCTCACTAATTTGCTCAAGCTGGCCTAGAATCTGTGACCTTCCTGCCTCAATCTCCTGAGTAGCTGGGATTACAGGTGTGTGCCAGCACTCATGGACAAGTTTGTTTTCTAAATTATGTGTTATAATGTGCAAAAGCAGTCTGAGTAATGATGTGCCTTTATTTCTTCTCTGTGTTCCATACATGCATGTGTGTCTGATAGACACCAAATTCTCTTCTAGGAGCTTGGGATACATTAGTGCATAAAATAAGATCTCTGTCTTGGGGAGGGGCTGGGAATGCACGTGCCTGTGCACATGTGTGTCTCGGTGGTGTGTGTGTGCGTGCGTGTGGGGAGTCTGGGCCATTTTTAAAAGGTGTAATAAATATATGTGCACTACAGTGTGTTAGAAGGTGACACTGATGAGAAAACACAAAGGGCAGGGGAGGCATGGAATGCGGGAGTCTGGGAAAGGAAGACAGACCAGACAGGACTTCAGATGAGCAGTTAAGCATGGCCTGGCAGAGGCGGCCTCTGAGAACAGACACAGCAGGTAAGAAAGGAGCACTTGCATACATGGGGAAAAGCATCCGGGCAGAGGGAGCAGCCTGTGCCAAGGCTGAGGACTTTAGGTGGAGGAGCTGCAGCTACAGGGGAAGGGCCCTGTGGCCAGGAAGGAGCAGAAGAGCAGCTCCAGGGCTATGCTTCAGAGGGAGCCTCTGTCTCTGTGGCGCACAGGCTAGGAGCAGTGAGACCAGCCAGGGGCTGCTGGCCTGCGGGCCACACAAGGGAGACCCATGTTAGTAGCAGGGAAGGTGTCAGATTCTGTACTTTGCCAATTCCTGTACACTGGCTATGGCGTGCAAGAGAAAGGAAGAGTCCAGAGTGACTCCAGAGGAATACAGTTTTAGTATTTTTTAAGAGCCCCCCAAAATATTTCTCCTTGCTGTGCTCTTATTCACCCCAGAAATACAGAGCCCTTTTCATGAAGGGCCGCTGTGGCGTGTAAGAGAGCATTAACACAAGGCCTAGCAGGATTCGAGGGGCCCCACTTAGTTCCATGTTTACCCCAAGACTGAGGAGCGAAATGCAACCAAGGTAGGCTGAGCTGAAGTGATTGCAACAACAGGTCAGCCAGTTCTCACTTGTGTGAAATACCTCTGCACAGAGTGCACAGAATGAGAGCAATAACTAGTAGCAAAGGCATCCCAAGCCCACTCTCTCACTGGGAACAGGCTACTATTATTTTTCCCATTTTTTTCCAACTGAACAGTCAGAAGGGAAGTTCTACTTTAAGCAAGGTTGCAAATCATCTCAAGCTATCAGTGACGACTTTAGGGAAGAAAAGGAGAAAGGCTATTGTTAGTTGCTGTCCGTTCCAATCCTTCCTCCCATTCCCTTCATCTTTTAATTCACTTCCCCTTTCATGAGCAGTGTGTTCCTGCTCCTGGGTAATTACTCAAGCAGAGGAAAAAAACAAGAAGACTCAATGCCTTGTGATCTCCTACAAACTAAACAATAATGGCTTCATCATATTCACTAAGGGAGTTAATCTTGGACGCATTCAACATTCCGAAAAGGAATTATGAGGCCTGGCACGTTTTGGAAACAGCTCTGCAATGAACAACTATCAAGACCTCATAAATTCAATTTAGAGCCTCTCCTCTGATAGTTACTTACAATCAGAAACTGAGGGATTTTGAAGGAATTTTAAGAAATCACAACCGCGTAGACTCTGAGCAAGGTTACACCAAATGAGAAGCTACCCAGTATTAAATGGCCCCAGCTAAATATTTGGGACCACAGTCCTACTCCTGACACTTCCACCAGGGCCTGGATCTTAGCATCCTGTACTGCAAAATGAGGGTTTCGTGCTCAGGGTTCATTGGTCCAGTGTTGCCATATTGAAAGTCTAATGTCACAGCATGAGATCATCATTGGGTGTGTCACAAACATGGCCTTTGGGAAACTCCTCAGGGAAGCTAAGCTAACTTTACATTATTCTGTTTGGGAGGAAGGGGGTCATCCACTGAAACTTGTCACTTGGCTTTCTCCAATTCTAATCTATTCATGTGCAGCTTTTTTTTTTTTTTCTGTCCTGAAATATCTTTGTATCTCCTCTGTGAAATATCATTGAATTGGAAGATTATAAATTCTTTGGTCTAAAGAGCCAAAGAAAGCTGTAAAGTGAGAA